TTTGTTGATGAGTTGATTCATGTTATCTGTGTATAATGTTTATGAATTATGGTGTTTAATTTAGTCTGGCCAACTACGTTAAATATTCATAGTTTAATTGCTAGATTCGAGGCTTTAATCCGTAATTGTTATTGTCTCGTTTCGTTAGTAGTAAACTAGGGGTCGTGCATCTCTAGGGTAGCGTGAACATAAGTTAAATGGTCCGAGCTTTTGCGTCCATTGCTTAGACTGATCTATTTTCCTCGTAATTAATGCTGCTAGTGTATTAAATCTAGAGAGCTTATTCTAGGTTGTCCGCTAGTTAGATTTAGTCGAAGAGCTTATTTCGATTAAATATTCGGTATGGGAAAATTCGGTTAACAGAGCTTGTTGTTAGCTAGGGTCGGTAATTCGTTAGCAATTTAAAGAAAGCGTCGAAATTAATTAACGGTAGATTTAGATTGGGTGATAACTGAACCGAAAACTGGACTTCTCTTATTTTATTTGATCTCTTATTTTATTTATTATTTTTATTTTTATTTTTATAAAACCAATCCCCCCACCTTTATTGCTTTCGTAGGTTTAGTTCAATTAATACGAGAATCATCACAATTTAATTCCTGCTCCTCGTGGGATCGACCCTTACTCGCCGCTACTACTAGTTAGTAGAGGTTAGTCGAGGAAAATATTATAAATTTAAATTTGCCGTGTTGCGACGCGCGGTCAAATATTTAAGATAATATGTCAGTTCTATTCGACACAACATATAAAGTCTGTAATAATACAATATTTATTTAAATATTTTATTTATTTATTTTTTTAATTTATATTTGTAGGTATCAATTTAATTAGTTATTAGTTTATAAAATATTATAAAAGTATAAGATTTAAAATATAATGATTGTATACCAATTACTTGCATGTACTTATATAATTATCAATTATATTAATCTTATAATTTTTTTAGCAATTCATAGTTTGCATATTGCTCGATAACAGGCCAACTTTTAATCCATAAAATTAATTTTTATTTATAATAACTCTAATTGCATGAAATACTAATTTATGATAATTAACTTCAAAGTTTTAGTAACTTTTATCTATCGTGCAACACAATTTTTTCATGGTAAATATTTTATTTTGTATTTTAATATTTTTTATATATTTATTTATTTATTTCATTTTCCTCAACATATATAATAATTTAATTAATAAAAAAATTAATAATTTTATATTCCAATGACTTTAAAATCTTATAATTTCAATTATTACTTTGACTATATAATTTTATTTACTCATTGTTCCTTATAAAACAATGTATAATAAAAATTTTATTTTTTAACACCTTGAATAGTGTTTTTAATGTATATAGATACTTTAATGTGAAATTTATATTTCTTAGTTTTACTCGACCATAGAAAGATAATTTATTAACATATATTCATTAGATTTTAGTTTATTCATGGTTAAGTTGACCACAATTTATAAAATATTATTAATATTTTAAATTGTTCACTAAGCTAATATAATTCAAACATAATTATTTTCATTATTTTATTATATATTTTAAGTGTTTTTGATTGATGAATAATTCATATATCTACAACCATGAGATGATAACAAAACTAATCAAAATATTTTTTATAATTATAATGAGTAAATTTTTTTAAAATATGTCAACAAAATTACTATGAAATTGGTATTATTTGTCTTATTCAAAATATATCTAGTCAATCAATCATTCTATTTAAGTGTGTGTGTGTGTGTTTGTTTATATATTAGTGTTGATTATATATATATATAGGGGTCGGTTCAAATAAAAACTAGCCCTGGTGTGAGAACCGTAAGAACCATATTTGATGCTATTTTTAATATTACATGATGCTATTTTTACAAATGTTAGTATAAATTGTGTTGCTATTCTTAACAAAATATATCTTGGTTAAAAATAGCACTAAAACATACTCAATCATAGCACTTCATACAATTAAAAGTAGCAGTTCTCACGGCTCTCATACTAGAATTTGGTTCTCATTTGAACCACATCCTATATATATATATACCCAATCGTCAAAAAAAACAAAAAATTACTAATACTTTTATATCTTTGGGTATATTATTTATCTTCACAAATCTTTTAGACCAAATTTTACATCAAACAATAATTAGTTTAAATATTTTTAAACTTGTACTGATACATTTATATCTTTGAGTATATTGATAAAGCAATTATTTTATCTTCACGAATCTTTGAAACTAAATTTTAATTCAAACAGTAATTAGTTTAAATCTTCTCAAATTCCTTAATGAATTAACCATTTTTGGTTTTATGTAATAAATGAATGTTAAATAGTAATTGCCAAATTTAACTGAAATATTTAGGCGGAAAATTTGTGACAATTATAGTAAAATGGATTAGTCTTTTATATAGATATAGATATAAATATAGATGTCGCATATTATTCCATCTTCTAGAATGGTTATATAAATAAAAATCGTGGCATCTAAACACAAGACACCTAGGTAGATTCCATGGTAGACCTTTCGGTTCCTTCGTGCAGTTCTTTCGTACAAACCGCCTAAGGCAATTTTTCAGAATCGATTAAATTTTCAGAATCGATTAAAAGAAAAAGGATCGAAGGAGATGTGCTATTGGGATGATACAAAGAAAAAGGGAGGATACAAACAAAAACAAACAAAGGCATGGGATATTGGGATGGGCTGTTTTGCTTTATAGCCTTTATTAGTATTGGTTGGTCAATTAAATGGAAATTAAAGACACTGAGGTTAGGTGATAAAATGGGGATAATATTCATTTCATAGAATACGCGTCTATAACGCGGGCTGTTGTGGGCCCCTCCTGTACCAATAAAATGAGGACTTTGGTGTATCGTTTTTAAATCAACTAGTGTGTATCCCGTGCGCTGCACGGAGGGGTTTTTACTTAAAACCTTTTCTAAGACTTTATATTAAACATAGTTATTTATGTTTAACATCTTATTATTATAAAAAAAGAAATACCAAATATGAAAAATTATATATTATTTATTTGAATATAATGAGTGTTCTCAACCAAACTAATAACATCCAACATATGATATATGATAAAATTAATTATATGATCGTCATACTTTTTGAAAAAATATACATATATTTCTAATAAACATGTAAGATCCGCATTTAAATTTGTATTTGGATATGAGGTGAAAAATGAATATGTACAAATAAAAAAGTACCAAGAACCTACATAAAATGAGATTCTTTATAAACTTTAAAATATTTTGTAGTTAAGCAAATATTAACAAACAAAATCATCAATTACATTTGACCTTATCGAATATAAAATATAATTTATGATATCATTGACCATATTTACCCGTTGTATTTACAGTTATCATTGACCATATTTTTATGAATTAAGGTTTACAAAATATCTTTTTCAAAATGACAATTTTTTTTAATTTGAATTTGACTTTTTCATCCAACCGCCATTTTCCACAAAAATAAAAATAGTATTTTGAAAAATTTTAGACGTGAAAATCAAATAAAATTAATTTAATAGTAATCGATTAATTTAGTATTATTCAAAATTGTTTAATTCGGTCAACCCGATCTTAGTGCACGTTTAATTGAAACAATCGCTTACCAAAAAAAAGGTAATCGCTTACAAAAAAAGGAAGTGAAATCTATCTATATAATATAAATCGGATTTGAAAAAAAAAGGAAATGAAATTTCATAATTAATTAATTTAAATTGATGTTATCCGATTTATATCAACTCCCTTCCAAAAAAAAAGGAAATATCCGATTCCTACCAAATCGATTAAAAAAAAAAAGGATTATGATATACGTCCAAATAAATTACAATTGAAATGTAGGCGGGATTATGAAAAAAAAAATAAAAAAACTTTACCGAATAAAGTAATAAAACGAAAAAAAAAGCGGGAATATGAAGCGGGAAAATAAGATAATTTTTTTTGAGTTTTTTGAACAATTTTTCTTAGTCGTAATAATAGTAATAGATTTCCAAAATGTTACCACACATTTTTTTCTATTTTTCTTGTTTTTATTAAATTTTATTTACATAAGATATACATTGGTTAATTTTAAATTGAATCTAAAAGTCAACTCCTCACACTTTTCGAAAAATGTTACCACCCAATTTTTTTTTTCTTATTATGTTTTATTTACATAAGATATACATTAGTGGTTAATTTCAAATTAAATCTAAAATTCAACTCCTCACATTCTTGAATTTGAATTTTTAAATAAGGAAATGTGTTTCCATATTTTTTGGTAGTTAGAATATGTTGGATTCATTTATCTATAACTAATCATACACGTATTCAAAATTTGAACCCAAACAAAATTCTTTGAATTTTTTGCTAACAAAATCACCTTCCCATAATTTATTTATTTCGAAAAATGTTACCACACAATCTTTTTAATTTTGTTTTTCTATTAAATTTTATTTACATAAAATATACATTTGTTAATATTAAATTGAATTTAAAATTCAACTCATCACAAATTTGTATATATATATATATATATATAGAGAGAGAGAGAGAGAGAGAGATGATTCTCTTTTTTGTACATATTTAAAAAAATCTAATCAAATTTTGAATCCCGAATTAAAATCGAATTGTAATGTGAACTGAAAAGATTTGAAATCTAATCATGTTGTAGATAAGGGAAATCCATGGCAAAAAAAGGGGATGAAAAAAATTCAAATTAAATTTAAGGGGGAAAAACAGTTTTTTAAGCGGGAATTTGAAATATTTTTTCAAACATTTTTTCTTCTCCGTATTATATAGTAATAGATTTGAGGAATTTACAAGCTCCACTTAAACAATCTAAAGATATTACATATATACATTCAACATATATTTATTTGCAAACCTACCACATGTACCATAAATATTTGCACATATACCAATTTTTTAATGTCTATCAAATTATGGAATGTTATAATTGATGATTTTTTCCTAAATTATTGGAACAAAACCTCTCAACTACCCCGACTCGTTCTCGATCTCCAATTTCACGCTTGGCAACAAGTCGCTCGTCCCCTTCACCTCCGAGATCCGCCAACCGCGCAGAACCCTAACAAGAAGATGAGGCTCGCGTACGACCACATAGTGGCCGAGATCTTCTACGAGTCGGAGTCCCTGTCAGAGATGATGGTCCCGTCGTTCTGACAGGACACGAGGAACGTGAATTTGAAGGGATAGTGAGGAGAATTTGATGGCCCCACGGTGGATTTGAGGCACTTGGAGGAGAATTTGAAGGGATAGTGAGGTACGTGGTGGGACAGACGGCAAAGAGGAACGTGGTGGAGCTCCACCTGTGAAAAGGATTGTAGGTGGAAGATATAAAAATACAGAAAAAGATTGTAATTTGGGCTAATCAGGTATGTAACTCATTTATCTTTTGTGGGCTTATGGGGAATGACTCATTCCTTTGTGGAAGATGTAATTCACGGCCAATTTCGCGGCGACAGGGAGCTTCGTGGAGCGATCGGTGGCGGACGAGATGAATAGCGATAGGTCGAGGAGTGGGAACGTGAATTTCAATCTGAGGATGCATTCGTTTTCATTTTTTTTTTTGGACAAATTTTTGGATTGGAGTATATGTACGGTATATGTATAGTATATGTACAGTATATGAATCGCGTCCTCTCGAGCCCCGCGGCCACCACGGTATTCTGGCCGATGATGAACCTAAAATATACTGTTTTCCAATGTTTATTTGATGTATATTTACAGTCTATTTAATATACATCAGGCTTTGTTGTTTCATTTTTCGATATTTATATTAATGTTTTTTATTTCATTTTTATTTACAGTAAGAACTCATTATATTTACAGCAACATACACTGAAAATATACTGAAATATATTTTTTTTTTCGGTTCAATATACTGAAATATAATGATTATAAATGCAATATACACTGAAAATAATTAATGAACGGTAAATAAAAAGAAAACCGAGAAGAATTAATTTCCCATGGAAGCATTTTTTTTTAGTACACAAACACAGTAACGGGCAAAAAAAATGGAGAGTTTTTTTTTTTTAGCGTACAGACGCAAATCAAGGGCAAAAAAGAAGGAGAAGAAGTTGAATTGATATGGTAACTAAATTAGGCATTAATGTAGTTAATTTTATCTTTTAGGTAAATATATAATTAATTCAATGGAGGTGGTATTGTTGCAATATTCTTCATATCTTGTAGGAGAGATAAAAAATTTCCAATGAATTTTGGGCTTCATTGGGCCAGATTTTGGTTGTTATTCTGTTATGGGCTCGCTTAATTGTGGAGTTGAGTTCAGATTATGGGCTAAAATAATACAAAGCCCAGCTAGGTTCTCCATGCTTCGGATGAATTTTTTTGCTTGAAAAAGCATGTTTCACATCATAGGCTGTTTTCATTGGAATTCCATTTTGAACTGAGCATATTTAATAAACACTATAAACTAATTTATAATTTATTTGATTAACTTAAAGCTTCTTATATTCAAATAAGTTAAGTTTGGCAGGACAAACTTTTTTAAAATGCTCGAGTTTGTCTCAAAATCTTCATTAGGTAGCTTTTCAAATAAATATGTTGAAATTTATAGACTATCTCGTTTTATGAGAGCTATCTTTTGGTGAAACATTGTTCATGGAGATTAAACTCCCATATTACAAGACAATCTCAAAATTCCACACATTAAGCAACAAGATATGCAAAAACCAAACATCAATCAATAGTATGAAATTAATACCCGATAACCCACGAATCCGAGCATTCTAAGGTGTCCCATTTTTTGCCGAGACTTGGCCTTTTGACAAAGGTTAGTCTGTTATATTTCGGGCCTCTTGGCCTCCCCATTTACGCATCCGCTCTGTCGTCTGCTCAACCTGTAGTTTTTTCGAGTTTGTTAGTAACGACTAGAAGAAACTCGGTTTTCGATTTGCAGTATTATATTGGGAGATAATCTAACTAATTAGAAAATAAAATAAAATAATACAGATGGATATATATTACATACTAACCTCCTTGTTCTAGTTTGTTTTACAAATTACAAGAGATAACAGCACAGTCTGCAAAGCCACTCCAGCAATCATCTCTCCCCAAATTCCCTTTCAACACCAAACATAGAATCAAAATCTCTTTTAANTTCACTCCAAATCTAGCTACATAGCCGAGAAAATACCCGAACGGCAGACCGAAAACATAATAGCAACCCAAGTTAATATACACGACAAGCCCTTGCCAGTCACCTCCTATAGCAACACATAAAAAACGAACCAAATTCGAAACATGGGAACTTTACTGTAAAATCAATGTACTCTGCCCTGCAATTGAAGCAGGAATTATCAAAGGACCAACCAGAAGCAAGTAATAGTAGGACCATCCAAGCAAAGCTCTGGAAGCACACCTGGGGACTGAAGATAAAGAACAAGATAAAGCTTTTTATATGGAGATGCTACCATGGGTTAGTTGGCACTCAGGACAGGCTGAGGAAGAAAGGGTTAGAGCTAGATCCTATATGCAGCATGTGTGGGGAAGAAGAGGAAACACTGGAGCACATCTTCTTTTTCTGTCAAAGAGCCCACAGAGTATGGCAGTTAACAGGTGTGACATGGAAAGGCTTGCAGAGATCAGAGACAAGTTTTCAAATGTGGTGGCAGGATATTACCTTAATGAAAAATTTCTTTGGAGCCAAAGACAGAATCACTCTATCTACTTATGTCTTGTGGTGGCTCTGGAAAACCCGTAACAGTTGGGTTGTCAAGAAGGAATGGATATCTGAGGGGAAAACAGCTAAAGGTGCTAGGCTCGAATGGGCTGAGTTCTCTTCAGCTTTGGATATGTAGATTTTAATTTTGTTTGCTTTTCTTGTTTAGGGGCTGGGGTGACTGTTTTGCAGGAGCAATGGAATGTAGGGCAGCGATGGAGCAGCTCCTATCTACTTTGTTTAGGATCCATGCTTATTTTGCTCTCTGTTGTTGTTCCTGGAGCTCATAGAAGTCTGTAGTAGTTGTAATATTGTGTTTTGCTTGTAGTCTTTGGTTTGCCTTTTTATACTTTTTCTTTTGGCAGTTCTTGGGGGTTGGGGTTGGGTTAGTTTTTGTTTGTAGTTAGGGCAGAGATAAACCGAGATTATCGGTTATGCTCGTTTACCTTTTACTGTCTTATTCTGGTAGAGAGTTCAGCTGTAAAGGGTCAACCATTTGGTTGGTCGGTTCTGTACATAAACTTTTGAGTTTTAATGAAGTTTTTACCGTTTTTTGGAAAAAAAAAATATATATATATATATATTTGGCACCGGAACAAAACATATGAACTCAAGATTGAATCCTAAAAAATAAACTAAAATCCACAATTTAGGGAAGCAATTAATGTTTGACCGACTTTTTTGAAGAAAAATAAAATAAAAAATAAAAAAAGTAATGCTAATAGATTGTAATTAATGTTTTCAACTTTTTATGGTTACCATTTTTTGAAAAATGGTAATACTTATTATATANCTGCGACCGCACCCACAGCCAATTCCGTACCCATCCCTCCGAACTTGCTTTTCTTGTGCTCCTCCCCATACCCGTAGTACCTGCCCTGCCCGTACGCCGGATGCCGGTAGATCGGATGCGGTATACCGTACGCGCCAAAATAGCCTCTCATAGGGGCCGCATAGGCCGGAGGCCCGCCATAGGGGCCACCGTACGGCAGCGGCCGATAGTACTCCCTGGTCCCCGGCGGAGGCACGCCGAACTGCGGCGCGTGGTAGGGATCCGGCGCGGGGTACGGCGGCGGTTCGCGGACGGAGACCCTGACCTCCAGCTTCCCCTGTGGCCGGCCGGAGGGGCGCTTCAGCTCGAGTCTCCTCTCGGCAGCGGCGTCGTCGACGACGTCGCGGAGGCAGAGCCTGGCGGATCCGATGAGCGGTTTAGTGTCCTCGGCGGCATCGGCGTGGAAGATGTCGACGCAGAGGGTGGAGTCCTCGATCGGGAAGTCGAAGGCGATGAGGAGCCTGTCGCCCCAGCGGGGGGAGGTATCGCCGTCCTCGTCGACGCGGGTGTAGCGCTTGGCGGCAATGGCGGCGGTGTCGACCCAGACGCCGGCGTAGGGGCGGAGCTTGCCGTGACGCCAGTTGACGTTCTTGAGGTCCTCCGCGGAGGTCACGGTGACTTCGACCTCGTAACGTGAGCCCATTATTCAGTGAATAACAAAAAAAAAAAAATATATAGAGTCGTTTAAATAAGATTCCTAGAACTCTAATACTAACTTGTCCAACAAGACAATAATTCTAATTAAATATTGAATATTAATATTAAATTAATTCATAACTTATTCTCTAACTATAATAATAATAATAATAATAATAATAATATTAATAATAATAATAATAATCTACACTATAAAGGGATTTTCTTTTTTATTTTTCTTCTGGATGATCAAATGGAAATTTTGAGGGGGGTTTATTTTTCTTTTGATTTTGATTTGAAAGTTGAAACAATCTAGAAGGTGTTATCTGGGTTTAGTGCTTTTTGTGTGGAAGGACATTTTTGCCCTTTCTGATGGCGAAAGGAAGCGTGCAGCTTCTGATGCTCGACCACAATGAAGTAGAAATATCGAATTTGTGCACTTTGTTTACAAAAATTGCACAATATTAATCAATGTATTTGATGGTAGAATTTACTGATTTTGGATAATTGTGATTATTGATATTATATATTTTGGTCGTGGGCTTTAGGTGGGGGGCATGCGCCTAGCCGAAAATATTAATAAGTTTATTTTATTTATTATGTTTGATTTATAAGATACGTTAAAAAATTATTAATTAATACGATTAAGAACAAATATTATATGAAATTAATACATTCATAATTATTATATTTGTTTAAATATAATGATTATTAATATTTTATTATATAATGTAAAATTTATGCATAGAAATTAAATTATTTTTATTTTTTAATAAAAATATATGTACAGAAATCATTAAAAAAAGTGCAGAAGCCTAATCCTACTACTCAATCTAGACGTGAGTAACTTCACAACCGCATATACATTGTTGCCTATAATGTTTATATGTCTGCCTATAATGTTTATATGTCTGCATATTGTTCGATCGTCTAGAATTGTTGTTTAAATAAAAACAGTGGCATCTAAACATCGTCTNAGGTCACGGTGACTTCGACCTCGTAACGTGATCCCATTTCTGGAAAAGTGATTTTTTTTTTTATTTCTTTTTTGTTTTGTTTTTCTTATGGATGATGAAATGAAAATTTTGAGGGCGATTTATTTTTCTTTTGATTTTGATTTGAAAGTTGAAACAATCTAGAAGGTGTTATCTGGATTTTAGTGCTTTTTGTGGGGAACGACATTTTTGCCCTTTCAGATGGCGAAATGAGGCATGCAGCTTCTTAGGAAAATTTTCAGCATTTGACATTTCGTATTATATTTTCAACAAATTAATCAAATGCTTCTTAGTGGGAAGTTGCATGCCTAACATTGTGTTGTATATTTGCGTAATTGCATTAATCAGCTTTCTTATCGTGCCCATTTTCTCCTCTCCTTAATTAGCTCATGCCATTTAGAAGAAAAAAATCGAAGCTGTTCAAATTAACAGTATAAATGGAAAATAAATAAGGAGATATGAATTATGGTCACAATAATACAAGCCAAATGATGATGCTAAATGTTTAAAAGACCAATCTTTAATGTCTTCCATTGCTGATGAAAAGCTTTTAAGCAGCTGGTTTTTCATCTGCAATTTCTTGGCCTCCCCACTTTCTCATTCGTTCTGTCGTCTGCTCGACCTGCATATATTCATGGATCGTTAAACTAATCCGACCAGTTGATAACTGACATGTGTACAATTTCAAAACATCTTTTTTTTTTAAAAAAAAAAGACAAAACACAAAACAAAACAATAACCTCCTTTTTCCAATTTGTTTTATAGAGCACCAAAAGAAGCAATAAGGTCTGCATGGCAGTCCCAGCAATCATCCCTCCCCAAAGTCCCTATGATCAATCAAACCAAAGAAAATTGACAATTTAAGTATGCACGCACACACACACACACACATATATATATATATATATATATATATATATATATATATTATAAATTAATATTTCGGAAAATATTTCGTTTACCACGACGCCAAGATTAGCGACATAGCCAAGAACGTATCCTAGAGGAAGGCCGAAAATGTAGTAACAAGCCAAGTTAATATAAGCCACCAGAGCTTGCCATCCGCCTCCCACGGCAACACCTAAATGCATTTCAGCTCGTCAAAATTTACTCGAATGTTCGTGAATCAATACAAAGCTACTTAAGGATATACTGTTTTTAACCTTTTATTTTTGTCTAGAAATATTTACCTGATACAACTGGCTGGACGCTGTTGAGAACCATCGTGACCCCGAGAAGGCCCGACAGGTGAGCAACAGCCCGTTGCATATCCTTGCTGTCGGTGAAAATTATGCTGAAGTAGTTTCTAGTTACGAGGATGACAATCATGCAGATTATCCCGATCAGGAGGGACTGGAAAACAGTTGCATAAACAGAGTATTTGGCAGTTCTAGGATGTCCTAATCCCAGCTCATTCGACACTCGCACGCTAAATATAACCAAAATGCAAAAAAAATGAGTTAGGCCTTTGTCTACTTGATATGAAATCTCATGCTCACACAGAACATAGGGAGAGCTCTGTCATTTTTCATATGATTTTTTTTACCTTATAGCCGCATTAATTCCAATGAAAACCATGGCTTCCATCCCATTCACATTCGTGCTGCAAAGAATGATCAAAGGCAGATAATTTAGAGCTGCAAGAAACAATATATGTAGGAAAAAAATGGAGATTTAGTCCTGTAACTTACACTTAATTAAGAAATAGTCCAGTAATCATGTTGACTTTAAAAAACACCTACAAAAACAAAAACTGACTTTTGGTCCTTCCACCGACAAAAGCCGGTCCCTTGACCATTTACTGACGTGGGTATTCTTATTATTATTATTATTATTATTATTATTCTCAATACATGGCAGCAGACTAACATATCCAACTTAGCAGCAAGTCAAATTGATCATTTTTTGCCCGTGGAAGGACCAAAATAGTTTTTTTTTTGGCAGTTACAAGGTGTTTTGTAAAATCAACGCAACCACCGGACTCTTTCTCAATTTAGTGTCAGTTACAAGACTTAAATCTCCAATTTTTCCTGTCTAATAGAAATCGATCGTGCAATGTAACATGTAATAAGCAGATGCAACCGAACGAACCCAAATTTACCAGATGGCAAGCGAGCCAACTGCGCTCACGGCATTATCAAGATTCCCCGTGAGAACAGTAATGCTAGCCATGTACCAAATCTCCAGACACATCATCACTGCCGAAGCCAACGACAGCCTCACGAACCCCCAAATCTCCTTAAAAGCCGACCAAGAGAACCCCTTCCAACCGTCCCTACACCACCCCACCACATACACCAACTGAGCCCCTGCAGTCCCCCAGCCCGTGAGATCAATAGCCACAGCGGCCCCAAAAACCCCCCAACCGAGCACTTCCATCAACAGCCAGCACAGGAAAACCTGCGAAAGCAGAGATAGAAACGCGATCCACGCGAGCACGTTCACTTTGCTCTGTGCCTGCAAGAATTTTTGGGAGGGAAAAGTGACGGCCAGCGAGAAGAGTTGTGGCACGATCATCAGCGTGTACGCGCCAGCTGGATTCGCGATCTCGTCCGCTTGGCCGAGAAGCTTTAGGACAGGTGTGGCGAAAATGTACAGAGGGAGCAAGAGGAGACAGGTGGCAAAGAGTATGATCATCGAGCGCTGCATGTAGATGCCGAGCATGTGGACTTGCCCGGCTCCAAAGGCCTGGCCGCATAAGGTCTCGAGGGCACTTCCCATGCCAAGCTAGGGACATTAATGTAAATTAGATTAGCAAAGGTCTACCCCCTTCCTCAATTTTCTCCTCTTGAGAGAGAAGAAAAGCAGAAAAAAGATTAGCAAAGGTCTAACTAATCCAAGTATTGATTTGATTGAACCTGTTAAAGCTAACTACAAGTCTACAGCTCAGTGAGGTAGATTGATAGGATAATGTCTCATATTGAATGGAGTAGTAAATCAATAAATCATTGAATAGCTCCATTGGCTTTTGCTGGTGCCCAACTTGAGTGTGGACCCTGGAATTCAATACTGCACCCGACACTTTCTTCATGGTGATCTTGCATAAAAAAATTCAGTAGAAGCACAGTAAAATTACTGCTGATTCCTTTTTTTTTTCCCCCGTTTTTGTCTTCTTATGTATAAGTCTTGTCATTATTGGTAGTAATTGGCTATGTGATCCTTGCAAGAGAAAACTTGTGCCTACGGGCTGTGTTTTAACTGTAGGATTAGCATTTAGCACACAGGGAGAGTGGTCACCAACAAAGTACTTGTTAATGAAAAAACACAATAACTATAAACAAAATTTTCAGCTTTTCTGAAACCAACACCATCTTCTTGTCAGAAGTTTAAATATCTTGTTTCAAAATACTAAAACACAGCAATATATTAAATGTCAGAACTTACTAACTGAGGTGACATCCACTGCTATACTCAAGCAGAGGGGAAAGATAATCACAGCTCAAACAAAATGCACAGCGAAATTCCCAGTGGAATAGAGCATAAAGCAAACTGAACCGAAAAATTTCCATACTAGAAAATCAAACATAACCCGACCAAATTACACGGTCGACTAGTTTTTATGGTTTTGGTTTGGTTTTGCTCAGTCCTTAGAATCAAGAAACAAGTGACAAGCCTTTCCTCCTTTCAATAACCTTACCAAATAAAACAATTATCGGTAAAAAAATCATAGTATTTTTCGTAATTGAATCAACTAACCATGAATCCGAAGGAGAATGTACCCACGACCGAAACAGCGATGGAGAAAGCCGAGAGCTCGACGTCTCCGATATGGCCGACGAACATGGTGGTGACGGAGTTGATTCCGTACTGGCAAAGAATCTGGAACGCGATTGGGCCGCCGATCCTCCACAGCCTCGCCGTCTCCGTACAGAAAACGCGCCACCAATCCCTGGGCCCTCTAGCCGGAAGGTAGTCCCCGTCGTCTCCGATCAGCTCGTCGGAGCTCCGCCGGTCGAGCAGCGGCGCCTTCATTGCGAAATTGACCTGGGAGCGGAAAATGGATGACTGGCGGCTACTTACTCTGTTGCTCGCACACACACCTGTGCGTGTCTGTGTGTGTGGAATTTGTTACGAGTGACGTGAGTAAAGGCGAAGGCCATGCGATTTTCGTTTGCTTTCTGTTCATTATAATGTCTCAGAAGTTTTTTTCTTTTTTGCCTTTGAGTCCCTCTTGTTTCTGTAAATAACACAAAACTCCCGTACAACTATAGAAGGTTTTTTTTTTTTTTTTTTCCAAAACATCAAATATTAATATATGAACTCAAATAAAGTACAATCGGTAACAAATTGGTCACAAGGATCATTTTAACTGTCAAGTGAATCGACAAACACTAGACAAACACAAACATTATTTTCATGTGTAGACAAGTCTACATAATGATACTTTCTCTCTATTTTATAACGATAAATACTTTATTGAAACTTTTTGACAAGAAGCGTGGGCGTTTCTGTTGGCATGTGAATATGCCCCATTTGATTGTGTGGCTGTTGAAAAAGATATAAATTTAAAAAGATGAATAATCTTTTGTTTCTCTTACTTTGCTTCTGGAATTTTATTTTTAAAGAAATATATAAACTGTACAATAAATTCATCTCTAGAGGAAAATTCATTTTATTACCAATTATTAAGTGACTACAACTATCAGTATTGGTGAAAAAAATCATTTTGATCAACCATAAAAATAAATGCAAAAATAAGGAAAAACATCTCTGGATCAAAGTATTGCAAATTATTAAATTCACTCAGAACATGTGCCGTATATTTTGGTCCTGTTAGTCAAAACATTTTGGGCTTTAAATTGAAGCTTTTCTGTTCGGGCCTTATATTATAATATCGAAGCAATCAAAGTACATAAACTGATCGCTAGCAACGAAGCGTAAAAATATAAGATTTTTAAACAAATACTAATATTTAATGATGAATTAGCTTTGTAAATCAACGATTAAGCTTTGGGAGTTAACTTTTCGAGCTCTCAATTGCATCCCAGAAGCAACTGCCGAATATCTACAGTTTGTCATACAAAATCAAAAAAAAGCTCTCAAACTTGTTAAAACACAGAGTTTGATTTAACTCGTTAAAACTCAAAAATATGAGTATTTACATAATTTTTGTAACTTTTAATGCTCAGCTCGATAAGACATGAGTTTGCCTCGTTTTGAATATACGGGCCAAATTTGAGCTCGTTTTGTTAATTATCAGACTCGAGCCATGCGCGAGTATCAAGTCTTCGAACTTGTCTTTGCTTTTTTACGACTCTAAGAATATTTTATAATCTAATCACCATTTTCATCACTAATGATTTAACTTACACGATGAGAATTAAATGTATTGAAACTGTCACAACTCACAATAATAGTGTATATAACTATATATATACATTACTATTGAATTATTTATTAAGGACCACCTAACTTGATAAATTTCATATTAATGAGAGACAACACCATTTTTTTTAGGTTGCTAAATTTCGTGTGGGGGCATATCAATTATTCTACTTATCTGAAATATTTCAAGACTCTGGTCACCATATTCCAAAAGGAGTGAAACACAACACCAATACAATTGTATGTTCTGAACATTTGTCACTACATACCTAAGTATATATTGAATATATATATTGTACTCGATCTTGTTAGAATATTAACCTTTTTGTCCTTTTCACTAAAACAAAAACTTATCCTCATCATGTGGATCAATATTAGTACAACATGGGCATAAACTAAATTTCATCTTTTTCCTGGTGATAATTTTATCAATATAATTAAATAATATCAATTATCATCCTTACACGTCACATCAAATTTAAATCATTATTCATTTACTTACATAATATTATATACATATCACATCTTATAATATTCTCATACTTTTATATTAAATCAACTTTCATCGTTATATTTAAAATATTATTTAATATCTCACTAAAAAATACACAAACCAATTTTTCCAAAATTAAACAAAAATAAAAGCCAGTAAAAATATGGTTTATTTATACAAACAAGCCCTTAGCCCCGAAGCTCATTAAAAGGGGACCATGTCCATATGCTGAACAATGTTATTGCACTTTTTATTTAATAATCACGAGTTTAACAAGTGGAAAATATCTAAAATTTGATTTTGACCATGATTTTCTAGGTGAGTCTTATGTCATTTGACTTGGTAAAATACAACAGCAGGACCATATCCGACCACATGAATTCAAATAATTATTCATGGGACTCTATGATTAAATAAATATACAATTAATTATTTTAACTTTTCTGAAGCCTTTGCAACATTTGAACGTGACTAAAAATCGAATTTCGAACCCCATGAATCCAAGACGAAATTTCATGCACATAGCTATAATTTCCTATATGTTCAACATCTCGTAACTCGATTAACTTGCCCAAAAGTTGTCACATTGCATATTGCAAGTATTTTCTTAAATATTAATGGCTCTTTTAACAGTTAGCGATAGCTAATTGAATTAGCAACTCGAAGGGTACAAAATAGCTCAACTAAAAAGAGAGGAAGATCTTAAAGATTCTCGACTAAAATAATGAATAATAGATTAAATATTAATAGTTTTGACTTATTAATTGATTGAATTAGTTAATAATTGATAGTTGATTGAATTACCAGTTTTAACTAATTAATTGAATCATTTAATTATAAAAAGTGTTTGTTACGTCACTTATAATTTATTTTCAAATAAGTGAAGCCAACCAAATTTACAACCATCTAGTCGAATAAAGCTCATATACTAAACTCTTTTGAAATTCTCTTTTTAAAATCTAAAAACTATTTCAAACAGTTACATTATAAATAATTAAATTAGAGATACTAACAGATCAAACATCTAATTCATTCTACAACATTGTTTACCAAACCATACCAATATTTTTAATTTTTCTCACTTAAGTTCTTTATTGGGTCAACTTTTTTTGTGTTTTTTCTTGACTATCATCTTAAGACAAAGGCATCTCGTGAGGTAAGCCCATCGATTTTGGATCATGTTCTTTGGAATCCTTTTGATCAGCAAGAAGTCATATTTACCCCCACAGGCCACAACTTATCTTCCTCATAAATGCTTTAATTTGCTTTTTTTATATAATGTGTTCCACAATCCATGGCTCTAAATTCAAAATGCTTTCTTAAAAACAATACTCCTACAAAATAAGACAAAAATAAATTGGTATTCTATCAACAAAGATAAATATGGAAAATTGTTCCACTATTTTTTTAATTATTTTCTATTATGTTCCCACTACTTTTTATTTATCTTGTGAGTGAACCATTTTTTTCATAAAAAGTAATAATATTTACATCAAAAAAATATATAAATAAGAAGCTATACATTTGGTCAGTTATTTTCCAGTCATTTGCACGGTGGAAAATTTCCAATTGCTAGTCATTTATATCATGAACTTTCTAACAATAAATAAATAAATAGTATGATCAATAAGGATTTCCAATTAATATATTATATTTCAAAAAGCGCAAGCATAAAATTTAATAAAGATAAACAAAAGAGAAAAATAATAAGAAACTGAAAAAACGAGCAATGAGCCAATGATTTTAAAAGCTCCTAAGCGGCTATGCTCACATGCTTCCGTTGACAAATGAAACATATCCTTACCACAACTCTCCTTGATCGACACGTGTTCTGACACACAAGATATGTCTTTAGAGTACTCACAATGCATTGTGTCTAATTTTACATGTGTGTGGCATATAAATAGACTTAAATCCTAAATGACATGAACAAACCCAAGTAAAAAAATTCAAAAGTAAAATACTAAGTCTAGCATACATGTCAACCAATAAAAATGCTCAAATATGTTTCCTTTATTAAAAGAAAAATTAAATTAGGAATAAGTGATAAGTGTTTATGTTTGTACTTGGATCCAAAATAGACCCAAGTGTGGACTTGGTCTCTTTTTATTATTGCCACATAAGCTAGACCATGTCCACTTTTAATTGCATTGGAAGACATTTTTCTATAGACTAAGTCTATTTCCTATGTGACATATGATATTTTATTAAGAGACTCAATGCATTGTAGGTGCTCTTAGATCCTACGATTGAGAACTACACCGAAAAACAAAAAACCTTCTACGGCGCATTTAAGCAACAAAACATAACAAACAGCAGAAAAAGAAAAAAAAAAGTGCCATCTGAGCTGCACAATATTGATAGTCTAATTTGACAGGTCATAGATGATACAATTTAGATTAAACTTTATGTGAAAATATCGCTTAATCCAAGTGTTCGTATCGAATGGCGAGAATCAATACCAAATAGCGTAAGCGTACCTAATGGACGATGGCGGATCCAGGACAAAATCTCACTGGGGGACATTAACATTGTCAAGTATTGAAATTATGATTTTTTTAAAAAAAAAAATAAAATAAAATACATGTTAGTGTGTGTGAGTTTGATTATTTATGACAATACTTTGTAATATATACTAACAATCTCCTTTTTTATATGTTTGAAAATAAAGCAGGTCAGATTAACTAAGCAAAAGTTAAACAATATCTAAATTATTACAATCTGCTTAATAAAAATATGTATTTTGTCTTTCCTCTAATCTTCTCTACAATATATACACATAAAAAGTTAAACCCACATACACGCTTAGTGGGGGGCACGTGCTTCCACCTGGATCCGCCACTGCTAATGGCCGTGAAATTTTACTGCATAAATTTGGAATTTTGTAATTTGAGATTTTGAAGATCTTCCAAAAGGCCGTGAAATTGTATCTCTTCTTCTTCTGACGTACGAAGAAAAAGTGAATTTTAAAATTGTATCTCTTATACATTATTTTATATAATTTTTTATGTAAATTTCATTTTAAAGTATCATCTTCTTTTTCTGCAAGGTGTAGTGAAATGCATGACAACTCTTTACTTATGTTTACATTGACAAGTTTGACTAATATTTACAACTTGACTAATATTTACAACATTATATTTATAATGTTAATATAAATACAATTTGTTGTCATCAACTTGGTTATTTGATTCTTGTTCAAATTTGTTTAGTATGTTAATATCCTGTAAATTTAATAAACCTCTCAAAGCTCTTAATTGGGTATATATATATATATATATATATAATATGAAAATCACATAATTAATAAAAGATATTAATTGTTATATTATTCATGTCAAAATCGTACAAT